GGCGGTTTTCGGGCATAGCTTCATACGGGCTAGCTCCGGTCCGCACACCGGGCAAGAGGAGAGGGCCAGTCTTTGTCGCTATTTCGGGGGGATGAACGAGCCGGGGACACGAATACGTGTTCGATCGATGAATCACTCGGCGTGCACCGTTGACGTTGACGCGGAACGAGAGCGCGACACGCAAACACACAGAGTGAAAGGGAAAGAGAGCGAGAGAGCGAGATCGAGCACTCGTGACGAACGATGCAGCAGCACCAAACCGGTAGCTGAAGGAGAAAGAGAGAAAGAGAGAAAGAGAGAGAGAGAGAGAGAGAGGAAGGAAGAGGAGCAGAGCTACTAGTGGGTGGTAGTAGAACGGGGGGATGGGTTAGAGGGGGTTGGATGCACCCTCTCTGGTGTATGTACGGTGGCAGCTCACCGGTTGCGGGTGTGGAGTATGCAGGTGCGGGTGTATTAAAAAGCGGGGGTGGCTGCGGTCGCGTACCAATCACCCGACGGGGATGAGGGGGTGGCTCCGTGAGCGAGAGGGGGATCGAAAGGTGGTCTGGTCCGGCTCGATGGACGGGGTAGGCACGGCAGAGAGAGGGATCATACAGAGAGACGGTTTGTTCCGAGAGAGAGAACACGCCCGTGCCACGCAACCCCCGTGAAATTTTAATCGTGTCGTCATTGGGGTAGTTTGTTACGATAACCCGACCAGCATGGACGTGTACGCTAGGGTCTTTCGACGAAGGGAGAAAAAAAGAAAAAAAGAAATAAAACGTCCTGAAAAGATCGAGAGAAGAGGACCAGAGTTTCTGTATTAGTCTCTTTTTACAGATGGATGGAAAATAGTTGAGACTGTGTCGTAGTTTTCGGGAATGTGATAGAAATCTTTAAAGGTAAGATTTCTTTTTACATAAAATTGTCGTTTCTTGTGTTACATATTAGGCGTTAAGTATCGTTTAAGAGAATTTGTAAAAAAATCTGTATCACGCATCTCTATGATACTCGCGCCATTTTTATGCGTGCATATAATTTACACTTCTTACTCATTAATGGGACTTCATCCTATATGTGAAATAAATAATGTGGAATATAGAAACCATTGCTGGGTGTCCAAATTATTTCATCATGCATACATAGCAATTATTTAATTTAATTCATTTATTATTAACTCATGTCACAGAGCCAAATTCGTCAGGAAATTCCTTTTATGAAAGAATATTCGCATATTTCCATAATCAGGTAATTCGCTCAACTTCAATGTTACTGGAAATTTCTATAGACTCATCCCCAACCATATTACTTGATTTGCAGATAAAAATTCAAAATGTTTGATAAAATAATCAGACCATAAGATGCATACAATGCATAAACATGTAGATAAAAATACGAACTATAACCAAGGAATAGGAAGTCGAGACACAAATATGTATAATACCTTTGCAATTAGTAAAATTTCATATACATGTATATGTATGTAGGATTCTAACAAAAATACGTCGTACTTTTATATGCATTACAACATAAGTAATACAGCGTGTAAATAGTACGGTAAATAATAAGTGCATTAAAACACAAAAATCCATACTAAAACTCAAAGTTAAAAAGCTAGATGTTCCTAATTCGATGGCCAATTGACTATTGAAAACTAAGTAACTCTAATGACTTTTCACCGTTCCATTTCGAATCTCCGTGCAATTTTTACCGGGCTCGTTGCGGATATTTACCTGTATCGTAATTAGCAACGTGGACGAGCGACGTTTTCATCGTTTGGGAACGCGTCGCTGCACCAACGCCGCTCACGGTTGAATACATCGTTTGAAAGATTCATGGCAATGCGGTGTGCCGGGCATTATTGCTCATTTGATCGGGCGGCGCATCCGAAAATAATGTAGAAAATTGTTTTGCGGTCTTTTTATCTCGATTTCAACCACGTGACACGGACACAGAGAGAGAGAGAGACAAGGGTTGGAAGCGAAGGGCGTGTTGGTGAATGTTGAAGCTATATGCAGAGAGGGACAGAAACAGAGAAAGAGAGAGAGGAAGAGAGAGAGGGTGAGAGAGAGGAAGGGGTCGCTTTGTGTGTCCCATCAATCACGCGGACCTTTTCACCGAGCGGATATCGGGCCTGGCCGTTTTTGCGTGCGGTGCATCCCGCTCGATTGCAATCGTGGCGAATTATTGAATCTGCTGCATATCTCGTCCGTCCGGATTAGGTTGGGTTAGTTGGCGCGCGTCCGCGACTTCGCCGATTTTGCCCCCGCGAATCGGCCAATTCTCACCCTTCCACTGGAAAGGATATCGATCCGCGAAACGTGACGGGTGTTTGCGAAATTTTCCTGTCCTAATCAAGAATCTTCCAATAAATCGATAGAGTTGCCAAACGACCCGGTTCGTTTTCCTTTCCTCGAGTTTTCGAAGAGTTCGAATTTTTTAAATTTCCTCTGTGATGGAACTAACGAATTTTCTCTATCCCAAAACCTCGTGAAAGTAAAGACATCTGCTAAAACTTACTAGGAACCAATTATCCTTTCCCCTTCTCTTTAAGTTGCCGAGGAATTCGAGATTTTTTGAAACTCTGAAAGTTTCCTTCGTAGTACTGTGTAAGAAACATTAACAGAAACTAATTTTTATAGATCACTGTGTTCTACGAACGGTAATTGTCAAAGACGTTTTAAAAGTAATCTCTAAAAAGTAAATAGATTTCCTATGTTCCAAACCTTGGCCGAAACAAGAAAATATTTAAGGAGAATATCAAATCTAAAAAATGTATCTTGTAAAATCAACGAGTTATTACGTAAAATATCAGAGCTTAACAGATGAAAGCGGTACTTACTATTTGAAGACCAGGCCAGGCTGGTGTCGAAGAGAATGCTGCGTAAGAAGATGGTCATTCATGGAACGGATGATATTACTTTATTTGATGATGTACTTAAACAGTGAAAGAAACTCATCGTCGAGGCCAGTCACATCGACTCGTACTTGATCTTCGTTACGTACACTTTCTGACGGTCGATTAATGTCTCTCATAAAAAGAGGCGAAAAAACAAAAAGGAGATGGGGTAGCCTAGAGGCACGTGACTCTGGCCTGGACTCTTTAAGTCAGTGATATTTACAATGTCACGGATTCACAGTTACCGCGACGAGAAAAAATCGAACGATACCTATCACACACAGACCTTGATAATAACCTAACTCGTCGGAGTTGAAGTTTCGCGAGATTCTATCAACCTTGTGTCCATTGAAACGAAAATCAGGACTGGTGTGATAAAGATCGTTCGAAAAAATCGGTTAATCTCACTCGAAATGACAATGGGTAGCGTTTCACACGTACGCGAAATAGTAACCTAAATAATAATTGGACGCCGCTTATATATTTACATACTATACGAACGTAAACCCTGGTTAGTCCTCGAGTCCATGATAATTCCTGGTTCCAGGACCAGGCTCTGAGCTTTCCACGAACCTTGTTCAGGCTCATCTACATCGATACAAATCTCTCTTATAATCACCTGGCCGTACGACTGTCTAATATTAAAACAGACCCTAAATTAATCGAGGCAGATCTGGTTGAAATTTACAACAAGACCATCACGTAAAATTTCGATATTTATCTATCGAATGAAGAATATCCTCGTTTAATACGGTCTCCAGACTTGTCTAGGCTTAGGGCTTCTCTCTCTTCTGCTTCGCACGCCTTCCCTCTCCACGTCGGTATCGTCTTCTTTCTTCCTGGTGGTAAGATCTTGTCCTACGTTCTCTTTATCCTGTCCTTTCTTTGTACTGAGATCCACAGTGCCTTCCAGACGGATCTTCAGATCTCTGCGAGGAATCTCATCGTTCGTGATCTCTTGATCGTTCGAATTTTCTATACTAGGTCTTAGGTGAACGGAGGCATCTTGAAATGTGACGTCAGTAGTGTCTTCCAGGTCGCTTCTAATGGGAGAGATCCTTGGAGAATCCTGTTCCGGAAGAGACTCGTCGCTCCTCACGCGATCTCTGTTTGCATCATTCTCGTTCCTATCGTCCACTTCTATGCTTCCGTCAGGACTGTCCAGACCTGATCTACGAAGAACATCTTGATCGTCGTCTCGACGTTTTTCTTCCTTCAACGCGGATTCTGGACTGCTACTGCTGCCACGAAGTTTCCTCATTTCTTCCACTCGCGCCTGGTCAGGTCTCTGGAGCCGTTGCTGGGCCATTCTTAACGCTAGAGCATGCCATTCCGGCTCTAAGACGTACTGCTGCGTGTGGTAGAGTGGATTGTAGAGCCAAGAGGATTGTGGCAGCAACGGAGCGAATATCGATCCGAAGATAGACCCAGTGGCCCCCAGAAGATGAAGACCTATCATTAAAGTGATTATATCAGTTCTATGAATTCTTCATTTTTTGTTAATTTATCGAGATAAATTAGAGATTGAAGTTCAGGCATAAGATTTAAATTGGAGATCGAAGTTTAAGATAAGAGATGATATTTGAGTTCCGCAAGTATATTTTAATAGGCAGTTGTAATCCTCGACTTGTGTAAAACAGATCAAATCGCTAACAGAGAAGATATCTTCTTTTCGACACGATTTCTCGGCATGTTGCTCTTTTCATACTGTTATAATGGAATTTGTTGTTAAATCCGAACTCTTTATTATATTATTATATAATTGACATATTTTTGGTTGATCGAATTTCGATCGTATCTTTAATAGTACGTTGCACTTTAAGGTACACCTTTTTAGGTGTACCTTGAAGAAGTAATTTGGAATGTCCACCAAACTCAACTTCTTCGGGACTCTGAGGAAGTGAACTGAAGCATTCGAAAATACGATCGAAACCCGAAGAACCACCAATGTGCCATCACCGTGATCGTCTAATCATCGTGAAAGTTTAAAATCTAAAACTATATGACTTTTTATTTATTCCCTGTTTATTAGCGATTTAAAGGGTTAAAAGAACAATTTTCGTTAGTTTTATAATGTTAATTTAAAGATTTGGTTGAAGCGAATCGATACCTTGAAAATGTGAATGGTGTCCAGAGGGGCTAGGCGTAGTAGTGGTGGTGGTAGGTTCCGCCGGAGGCGTTGGTGCCGCAACAGTAGCCGTCGTGAGTAATCCAGGTCCAGGATTACCAGGTGACGTGGTCGGGGTCACCTCCCTGACGGATACGCTGATTGGACCCAAATCATTCCTGGACGGTTCTTTAAGAAACCCATTGACCAATCAGTTTTCATCTCTTTGCCAAACATCTATAAATCATCTGACACTATTGCCAAGGTCTGATATCCTTTTTACAGATCATACAAACAAGATCATTGGAAGAAATAATTTGATTAAATCTAATTCTTTCTATCATTCGAGGGTAATTCTTTTTTTTTTTTTTTTTTTTTTTT